GGATCGGGCCGTAGAGGCCGTACCGCAGCGAGCCGTACGTCGACTGGCGGAGCAGCGCCGGCGGAAGGCCCTTGAAGAGCGCCCCCGCGCCTTCGCTCTTGACGAGCTTCCCCGCGCAGTCCATCGTGCCGTTGTACAACTTGACGCCGCCGCCCGCACCGTCCATCTGGAGCCGGGTCTTGCACACGTCGATCGGCATCGTGACTACGCCACGGCGTCAGCGTGAGCGGCGGGTGGTGGGTGCGGCCAGCGCAGGAGCGTGCACACCCGTCTCGGCGACGCACGAGGCGAAGCCGCCGTAGAAGAGGCCCTTGAAGACGTTGCCGCTGTCCATGGCTCAAGTATATGCACCTACGACGTGTTTGCACAGCTAGTGATGCAACAGCAGGTGGCGGCACCAGTGCCCGCCTGCCGCGCCTGCCCTGTCTGCCTCTCTCGTCTCTCTGACCTTCGCTGCCCGCCTATTTTTTCGCCTGTCTCCGTTCTACCAGCTTCCAAAGAACGAAAGAATTCACCTACCCCAACAAAACCACAAAAGAATTCGCCGCCGCAGGGTGGTGGCTATGCTCGTAGGCGCTGTGCGGAGACGCGAGGGTCGGTCGGCTCTCAACTATAGCTATAGTAGCGATCTGCCTGCATGCGTGAGAGGCAGGTGCCGCCATCACTTTTTTTGAAAAGCTGCAGACGAGCGGCACGTCTATGTGCCCACCTTCCCATACGCCAACCCCGCCCGCCACCTCGCCAGCCTGCGGGCCGGGATGCACGTGTGGGGGGGCAAGACGAAGCGCAGGCGCGGCCGGGCGCGGAAGCCTGCCTCAACCAAGCCAGCCGCTGCCACCCTCGGGCGGGCCAGCGCGCCCCGTGTCCTCCCCATGGCCGCCTCCAACTAGTGCCGTAGTCCAAATCCCCTCGGCCTCGCTCTCCCACACGGTGCCAGCCCCCCCGCGCTCCCCCTAAACCAACCCCCCGTCGGCTGAGGAACGGGCCGGGTTAATTTCCCCGGGTTCACTGCAGCCATCAGGGCGGTGGCACGGGTACGGCCGGGAGAGGCTCGGTTGACGCCGACCCGCCCGAGGGTGGCAGCGGCTTGGTTGAGGCAGGCTTCTCCGCGCCCGGCCGCGCCTGCGCTTCGTCTTGCCCCCCCACACGTGCATCCCGGCCCGCAGGCTGGCGAGGTGGGCGGGGTTGGCGTATGGGAAGGAGGCGTATTGGAACACCGGATGTAGACCTACAAGATTCGACGCGCAAAAAAATGTTTAGCGTGACATGGTTGTGTGTGTCGCTGCTGTGTGACCGTCACCGCCCGTCCCGCGTCCACCCATACCGCGTTGGTGTCCCAGTCGTTGGTCGGACTGTGTTTCGCCTTACTATCAAGATTCGACGCGCCAAAAGATGGGGGCACACATCACACAACATCCCTGGGTGGTGGCGGCGTGTGCCATCCTCCCCCCCATCCTTTCCTTTTTGGTTGCAAGTCTGTCTGTTTCTATACAAGACCGTGCTGCAAGGTGGGGACTCTGTCCTTGGGCGGAGGTAGGAAAAAATCTTCTGCAGATGCGTTATTATCTTATGACCGCGCAAGATAAAGGGTGGCTAAGGGCTCTGCCCGCAAGGCGCCCGCGTCGCAGACGCGGTACTCAGCTTCGTAACCCGTGAAAACAAC